GGTGTGGTCGCCCGCCCCCAGCCTCTGTAGGTCATATTCTTGAAATACAATTGGGCATAAGTCTACAGCTGCTTGATGTGTTCAAACAGCTTTTCACATTGCTTTTGAGGAGTTAAAAGAAGCAGAAATTGCATGCATGCATCTAGATGAACCTGTAAGCTTGTGAGTCAGCTTGAAGTTGAGATTTTAGTCCTACTGAGTCTGTGGGGATGAGGTGGGGAAGCAAAACACACCTCAGAATTTTGTCTGGGCCATCATATGTTAAAATGTGTTATCTTTCCTGCTTCTGAATACATTGGCATCTACCCAGGGCCTGATCTGTTTAACACATTCCAGTTAACAATGGTGAGTATTAGATGAAGTCGTATTTATGCCTGTAGTATCTAAATATAGCTTTGTTTCCCAGTCTAAATGCAGGACATTTGTTGCCTTCTGCATACCTCAGAAAAAAACCCTAGCAGTCCATGCAAAGAACACTCTTTTTATCCCCCCTTTGCTGAATCTTTTGAGTCCAAGGCTAATTCTTTTATCACACTGGCATCGTTATATAATGATTTGTATTGATTGGGACTTGAAGAGGCTGTCACATCCATATAGTGCCAGTAGCAGGTCAGAGGTTGGACAGAAAAACCTTCTACAGGTGAAGAATTTACTGTCTAGACCATACTATGTATGCAAAATAGAATGTAATAATGGAAATGAGAGATGAAAAAAAAAAAGGATGGAGCTGCTGTATGAGCTTTGCCTTGGCTTATGCCACTTTAGATTTGTCATGTATTTAGACTTTATTTGGTTCTTTATTTAAGACTCAGTTATCTGATAAGTTAACCCATAACCTAAAAGGATTTTTAGGGCTAAGAAGACATAAAAAGATGGTTGCAGCACAAAAGAAGGCCAGGGAAGAAAGTTTGCAGTGTTCGCACATGCATCTATGAGATATAAAAAAGCACTTCTTTGTCCTAAATGATACCATTTAAAATAATACTCATCTGGATAAAAGCAAGAAAAGGATAGAGATCAGAAAACATGGTGTTTAATCATCTGCTGCAACTTGCTCATTATGAGTTCCTACTGCCAGTTGTTCTGTGGTGTTTTCTAGATGCTCTCACTGTATTAGGTGACACAGAGAGCAGTAACACCCTGGGAAGAGAGGATGCAAGAGTGAAAGGGAGGTAAAGTGCTTAGTGACCACACTATTTTTCCTTCTAATATTTAACATACTTGCCAGAAAATAAGGGAAAGTTGCTGAAGAATATCTTGCTTTAAACCAAGAAACAGAGGTTGGATCCAATATAAAAAGTATGTGTCTGATTTGCTTTTAAGGAATCAAATCCCTTTCTTTGTTGAAACAGTGAGCTTTTGCTGGCACAAGGTAGTGTGAAGCATCAATCTACATTGCATAAGGACTGTATTAAGATACAAAGATCACTGGAATACGTACGATACATATATCCTCACCTTTCCTCCCCTTTTACCATGTCTATAGTGGAAAAACATGGTATTTATAGTCTTATATGTCATATATTTGTTTTATATTTATAATCTTATACTTGGTCTCTATTTTCTGAGTAAGAAAGTAAGTGACAACCTCTAATCTGAATGAATGCTTCTACACATGCATGCATTTTATGTGCATCTTAAACCCAAATATGTATGCATACACTGTATTTCATCAAAGCTATTGAAAGTGGATTCTAATTAAAAATGTAAAGAGTTGAATTGTGACTAAAGTGCACGTTGGCTCTCCCTAAAGTAAAGGAGTCCAAGAAATGTAAGCTACAAAGTAATCCACTCCCATATCCTGCTGGATTTGGATATAGAAGGACAGTAAATTTTTCTAAAATATATTAATCTGAGATAGCAAACGATAAATTATGTTTCTAGAACATGTTTCTTTCCAAGATGAAGGCAACTTTCTGACATGAGCAACGCTAAATCTGTGTGGAATGCAGGCAGTAAGGTTTATCTCATATTATTTTAATGCATAAGAAAAAAATCACAAATGTATCTTGTCATCATCTTAGAGAAGATTTATGAGGCCTTCATGCAAGATCAGTAAGTAAATGTAATGAAATCCTTAGCAGGTTTAAAATTGGGAGTTAACCAAAGGTCAGTTTTGCAATATGTAATTTACTCACTGGAATTACCAAGGGAAATTATGTAACATTACTTTACATTTTAGCCACACATGGCTATAATTGGAGCATGTTCTTTTGTCTACGAGCACTGCAATGGGAAAATACGTTTCTAACTATCTCTAAAGAGATAGTTAAGAGATATCTCTAAAGAGATATGCGTTCTCCACCATTTTTTTCATAGGAGGTTCAGGTGTATTGTTTGTAAAGAAATGACAGCTCCCTGTGATTTGGTAGGAATGGGTCTGCACCCATATATCCTGAAAACATGGTTGAGTAAAATCTCACGAGGGAGCTAGCCTCAGTGCAAACTGAAACTGGTTTAGGATCTTATTTAAGTCATTCCATTCTACAGCATCCTTTACAAAGCTCTTCAGTCTATCACTTTCTTTCCAACTTTAGACCTCTAATCCTTTAGGTCTGGTAAGCTGGGACTTCTGAATGCAGAGCCTAACATGCATCACTTCAAGAAATCCTTCTTCTCAATGATTGAAAACACCAATTTCCATTCTGTGATCTGTCAAGTGTGTCAGCAGAAGTCTGTTCTCCCTGGTCTGGCTATATATCCTGAAATGAAAAAGCCAAAAATAGCTAGTTCTCCATCAAAACTTCTTGACTACAGCTCATTTTTCTGTAGACTGCAAAGCATCCTGCTGTTTCTTCCAAGATTTCACAGCTTTTGGTTGTAGCCGAATTGAACCTGCAAGCAATTATGCAAATTCACCCTAAAAAATTATTCTCTTAGCACAGGGGAGTCAGGTATTTGAAAAGATGTTTGAATTCTTTAACAGACTCTAAGTTGCAAGTACAAAGGGCAGATTTGTTGGTAACTACCGTGATAAACAGAAATAAGTATTTATCTGAAGAGGAGGAGAGGGGAGCGTTGGAGTGTTTTTAATTTTTGTCTACCCTTCTAGCATGAATCTTAGCTGGTGAGCAGGAAGTGATCACTTACACCTTGAACTGAGAAAGGAGAAGTCTGTTGCATTGCAAGCTGATACCTGGAAAATAGACATTAAAAACTGCTGGGAAGGAGAAGCATGGTATAATGAATTATATATTACAAACGGGATTCAAGGCAGCTAGAGACAGCTTCTCGGAAGTTATCTGAGACTGTTAATCCCTGCTAATTTTGTGATATTTTGAATTTACTCATTAAGAACCAGCCTTTTACTTACACTTTAAACAAGCCTGATGTTGGTGATATGCTCGGCATTTATTTGCCTTTTGTGTGGCTTTTCATGCCAGGAATACAGGGCGTTGTGGAGGCTTATCAGAGCTGCCTTCCCAAGCTGCAGCTCTATGGGCCCACAAACATTGCTCCCATCATCCAGAAGGTGGCAAAATCAGCATCGGAGGAGACCAACACCAAGGAGGCCTCGGTAAGGGCGTGACGCTGCGTTTGGCTTTTTTCTTGCGCCATGATGGGTCTCTTGTAGGCCAGCAGAACAGGCCGTTTCACGTACGTGAATTATGCCTCCACAGTTTTCACTGACTGCCTTCACAGAAGGCAGCCTGGGTCTGTCGGCTGGAGCACTGTATCTAGGCTTTACAGCTTCGATAGTCGCAACTTCAGACTTCCCCACCGTTCTGTTTCCTGCTCTTTTACTGTAACACACCCAGTTCTTCACTGTGGAGACATAAATGGCACTACCAAGGTAACAAAAATTAGGGGCCAAGCCCTAAAAGTGTTGATCACACAAGGAGACGAGTTCAAATGATTCCCTCCACAGACAACCCAATTTCAGTTCTCTTGCACAGGCTGTACTAACGCTTTTTTGTTCAGCCAAAGGGTCTGTACAGCCATTTATTTGAAAACTATGGTGATAAAGTTTTCCTGTTGCTTTTACTGATAGGAAGTATTATGTGCCTTCTCGAAATCAGGAGTCAAGTCTGTTAGCCTGCATCTGAGATGAAACCTACAGCAGATTCTTGGGCTAAAAAGCATAACCATAGACGGTGTTTTAAATGTACATATTTGAAATGGATTAGGCTTAATTTTTTCCTGCCTTCCAGACAGAATGGGGAAAGGGAGAATGAGACAGTTGGAAAAAGTATGTGAGTGAGTAGGTCTGTAAGATATACAAGAGCAATGCTGTGGGAATCAAGGATATAAGAGAGGACTCGTACTGCAACAAGAAAAACGCCAATATTTAGGGACAGAATAGAGTTGTACATTGGCACGCATCTCCTCACCAGGCCTGAAGCTTTCTCTAAGCTTTCTCCATGTGCTGAGCCTTTTCTTAAGCCTTATTAAAGCAGCAGTTCCCAAATATTCCTGTTCATGGGTCTGGGCTGGTGATTGTCACTCCATTGCTATTTCCAGGACCTTGATACCATATAGGGTCCCAGTCCTAAATGGGGAGTTGCTATGTTTGAATTTCCATACCCACCTAATCCTGAGGTTGCTCACTCTGTTCCCACTGCTGCCTCTGAACTAGTATGTCATATTGAAGAAGTTGCTTCATTCTGCTAAACCTAAACTTCCCCTCTTTCTGTTTGAAAAACAATTTATAGCATGAGTCTTCAAGATAAAGTTTTCTCCCTGCATGTTTTGTTTTATTCACGGCAGGAGGTGGCGAAGAGAACTCTGTGTGAGCTTATATAGCTGTGCATACATAAACTTTAATAACGTTTTCTGTGTTGGTATTGCTTGTGCAGAGTGGTCAAACCCTATGACCTGTTCATTTTTCCTATTAATGCATAATTGTTAAATAACTCCTAACTGCCTAACGGTTCATAAAGGACTCAAGGGAAGATGTCATAGCCCATGATCCCTGTTCAGTGCACTTAGGAGTTTTGGGAAAGAAATTACAAGCATGCAAAATTGCTTGCTCTGCTTTAGAGAATGAGAAAACCCCTCTTCAGGGCTGTGTTTGAAAGTGGGCATATTCCTCACTGCACCTGCCCTCGCTCTCCTCAGGGACCCCATTACTCTGCAGAATGCAGCAGACCTGCCATGGTGGGGTGCTTCTCCCACAGGTTCCAGTGGGTGACCCTCCAGTTTGCAGATGGCTGCACTCATCCCGCTTGCCTGTTAGCAAAGCTCCTCTGCAAAGTGCTGTCATAACCTCCCTGACAGCTCTGCTACAGGCTTGTAATGCTTCAATACCCCATTCCTCCCTGCCTCCCACTGCTTCCCAAAGGGGAAGAAGATGTGATCGGAAACTGGCATCAGAAGTGATTGTGCAGCAGATGGAAAATAGGGCTAGTGAGGATCTCAGGACTATTCCAGGCTTCCCAGCCAAAGTCCTGACTCTCCCAGCCCTAGAAGCTAGAAACCCCCTTTTCTACACTGTGCATCCCTTGGCTGCCTCCAGCTCACAGAAATTACCTGAACTAGAGCTAAATTCCAGAAGAGGATAAATTGGTAGCTGAGGAGTTTTGGATGGGAAATGAGCTTAACCTTTGAGTCACTAGAAAGGCTCTTTTCTATTTAAAAAGGTCCATGGGCAACAGTTACCAGAAACACTTTTATACCGGAAAGGGGCAGTTTGGAAGATTAACTAATTATACAATTTCTCACTTCTTGTTCAACAACTTCAGCAATATTTCATCTTGCTTATTCTGACGGATGGCGTCATCACAGACATGGCTGACACCAGAGAGGCCATTGTCCATGCCTCTCACCTTCCCATGTCAGTCATCATCGTCGGGGTGGGGAACGCCGATTTTAGTGACATGCAGATGCTGGATGGCGATGACGGGATCCTGAGGTCTCCCAAGGGCGAGCCTGTGCTTCGAGACATTGTCCAGTTTGTGCCATTTAGGAACTTCAAACATGTAAGCTGATTTTTCCATCCATTCCGCAGAAGAGTGAATGTGTGTGACATACGGTGAATGGTCCCTGGGGCTGGGCCTAACTGTGGATGGGCATCAAGTGTTTAGTAGGCCTACGGCATTATTGTGTCAGAAATGAAGAAAAAAATGAATACAGCATGAAATGTTAGTTAGTGAGATGGTGAGGGTGGGGAAAGAAGGGATGGGGCAGGAGCCATGTGGTTCTTGTGGTGCCCGTCCTTACCTCCATCTATCCACCCAGAGCATCCGGTTTGCCTCCAAACCCTTTACCCAAATTCCGTACGAGAACAAATCCAAGCAAGTGCTGTTACTAAGAGCTTCCCTGTGCCCTCAGCCAGCTGTTCCTGTCTGAGCCCAGCGTGCTGTAGGAGAGGAAGGAAGAGACCCAGCATCAAGTTGCCAGATTTGAAATATTCCCTTGGCCATGTACTTTTCTCCTCGGTCACCTGCCCCTCATGGCAGCATCTGTCCCAGGGACTTTTTCAGCAGCTGGGTTGAGACAGCATTCGCCTGCAGAAGGAGCTTTCACACACATAGCCAGGTTTTTCAGGGCCCTTTTCCTCCATATGGAAGTGTGAAATGGCCATTGTGTTCCCCTATGATACTGATCATATCCCTTTCCCTCTGGTTTTTCATCATTCTTTCCCTTCCTTCCCCTCATTCTTTCTTTAAGTGGTTCTCCGGACTGGTTTTTCACTCACCCCAGCATCTAGGAATGATATCCTCGGTATTTGATTTGAAAATTTCTTTACCCCACAGCGTAACTGACTCATTCCCCTCATGGGATTGCCCTTTCCAGTCTGCTCTCATACACTTGTCACCTTTAGATCTGGATTTGTCACTCAGAAGTTTTCTATTCTGGGTTGGTTTTGGTCTACACAGAGTTTTGCAGTGCTTATATTTCTCTAGCTTTTCTAGTCTTTTTGGTACCACAGGAGACTTTTTTCTTCTTCCAAAATACCTTTGTTTTATTTTCCTCTTTTCGAGAGTTGTTCTTTTTTATCTCTTCAAAATGCGATTCTGCCATATTTGTCTTAGATCTAGGCACACTTCTAACTTTCACAAACTGCTGAGGAGTAAGAAAAACAGACTTGTTACTCTTTTCCCTCTACCTTTACGTAAAGAATGGATCCTCCTATGGTGTAAAACTCACCTTGTGCTATTAGCTGCACGTTACCGTGTCAAATGGCTGCAGATTGCTCACTGAATTGTAGAAACATACCTTTCTGTGCTGACAGTGCCACTCGGTCACCTATTAAGTATCTACTGGAAGAAAGCATGAGGATGACCTGCTCACAGATTGTGATTCTCCTTCATCAGATAATCACGGGTGTGTGGTGCACTGTAGTCTATTGTAAACGCGTTGAGAGGCGAGCTATTTATGGGCTGGTGCTAGACCTACTTTCAATTAGTTGAAAACATGTTTCTGCAAGGAACTGGCAAAGCCAGCTGCATTTGCTATTTTTAGTTTCATTTTGTGATTTTATAACAAAGTTTAAATCATCCTTGATTGAATAGATTAACGCTGACAGTTGCAGTTCTGGGTACTGAATATATTGTGCCTCTGGTGCTAACTTGTAAGCGAGCCTATGTGTGATTTTAACTGTGTGCATTGGTCAAATGACAAGCATATATTATTTTTAGCTGGTTTAGGTTAATCTCCCCAGTACCGGGAGAGGATAGCAATCTTAAAATTTATTTCTCTTGTTAAATAGTGATATTTTTCTCCCCCTTCCTTTCAGTAGCAAAGATAATATAGATATATAGATAGATGATGTATTTGCTATATCAGAAAAGCCAATGTATCTTAAGCAACTTGATATTCAGTCTGTTGATTGTGATCTTTCAGCATTTCAACAAATGTCAGTGTTATGGATGAGTGCCCATACCAATAGCCGCTTCTGGTTGAATTTCTTTATTGTCAGATCCCAAATAATCTCTCTCCCTGAACAAAGTGACATTCACAGCTATCTTGCTTACTTATCCTCAGCACAAACAAAAGACCATGCCTTTTGCAACAACTACTGAAATAATTTTTCATGGGAGAAATGAGCATGATGTTTTGATTCATACTTATTTTTCCCCACAGAGAAATGCGTATTTAACACATTTAGGAGCTTTTTGTCAGATCGGTTCTGATTAAGGACAACAATTACCATAAATCATCTATTACATTTGACAGCTTGAAGTAAAAAAAGTATTCAGTTAAAAATCACTTCCCTTCTGTCGATGTACCTTGTGTCTAGTTTTAATACTTTGTTCAACTATTAAGTAGAAAAGTTGAAGGATCATTTTAGGAAGACGACAAATCAAGTTGTATAAGGTTTATTGGTTTTTCTGATAAATCAGGTATTTATTTATGCCTAAACCTGTATTACTTCAGCTACTGATGGAAGGAGGGAAGAAAATGTTATTTGTCAACAATTATTTTTTGCTTTGCTGGAACAGTGAACTAAAATTCATTTGAAGTCAACCCAAACAATATTTTTTTTCATTATTTCACAGCTCAGGTCAGCCTGGAACTCAAAATCTCACATTTGTTCAAAGAGATCAAAAATAATCTGTCCTAAAGCTGCCCCTATAAGAAAATTGAAAGAACAAAAGAAGTTGTAAAAATAAGTTATAGAGTGAATCTCTTATTTTATAAGTTTGACTTCAAGGTGGTTCTGATCTTGCAAGGTATTCATACAGGCATTTAACACATTTCAATTAGTTAAAATTATTCACATACCTAAAACCTCATTCCCTCTTCAACTTTTTACTGGCTCAAGATCCAGTGTAGACTTATTATAGGGATTTAATCTCCTACATGATGTAGTGTATCAGGAGTACTTAAGTAAAGCATCTTACCGTTTTGACTCTCTTTAAGGGATATCTTTGAAGCTATCAAAATAATAATAATAGTTGTAGTCTTTCTTAGCAAATCCTGTAGTTGCAGAGGCTTGATAAAATAAAGGTAACCATTACTGCTTAAAAAGAACTCCCATTGTATAGTGGGTGACATGCAATTCACTACAGGAGAACATAACAAAGGGAAAATATTTTCCCAGAGCCCGAGTGAATTTCTTCTCTCTATAATAATCACCGCCCAAGCAATGTGAGTGTCCTTCACCTGAAGCTGTAGAACAGGGATGCTCACAGTCACTGAAATGTCGTTGCAGAAAATCACCTCAGTCCATTCTCAGTCATACTGTAAGAGCTGAAACTCTCTGCCGTTAGGATGCATGACATATTTACTGTGCACAAATCAGATGCCACAGGTATTCCGCTCTGCATTGTATGTAAACACAAAGGCTAACGACTGTGACTTAATAACACATATATCACAAATAAGTGTGGAAGCACAGCGCTTAACCACTGCAAGGAGCAATGTTTTGCACTCCGCATTGTAAATAACGATTAAGCACGGTGAAGCTGTAGACCTGAATCAACAATCATTTGTAACGTACACCAATTATCATCATAGGAGATTGTTTTCCTGCTGCTGGCTGACCTGATTGTTGTGCATTAGCCATCAGTGGAGATCTACTCATCTTGAGGTGTTTATTGCTAGGATGCTTTTCCAGCATAGCAGTTAAACAGTGAGGAAAACATTATGCTAAAACATTAATGTACCGTCTGTGTTAAAAACCCAGCGAAGGTAACCCTTATGTGGTGCTGCTGACCCAGGGCTGGCTTTTAGCTCAGAAGTTAGTGGGTCTGATTCTTCCTTACACAAATGCTGTCTTGCACCATCTGGCCTTGAAGTGAGAGCACTTTACCACCACTAAAGTATGTCAGGTACCGGTGGCCCAAATCATCAGACAGGAAATCACCCCTAATCCTGGTCTTGGGGGTGCCTGCCAGAAAGAGTCCCAGGACCAACAGACATCACCAGCAAGATGAAACCGGGTAAAGCAACAGTTGTCCATGTTCGGCCTGCAGCACGGACTCAAGCCAGCCACGACGCTGCGTGAGCCTGGTCTGAAGGGCCAACCCTTCGTTCAGGAAGGATGGACGTGGTGTCAGAAGAGGGAGAGGTGGCGGCCGGGGGGTGAAGCAGGGAGATGAGTGTAGGCCCAATGTTCAGACGTGTAGATACAAGTGATCCAGAGAAGCTGGTGGCAAATGCTGCTGCCCAGCATTTTTAAGGGTAGAGCAGAGGGAAGTTTCCTGATGGCTAGGGCTTCTGTGTGCAGTGATGGTCCAGGACTCTTCCCCAACTGCCTGTTTTTACCCTTCACGGAGGGTTGTATTTTTGGTAAGATGGCATAGAGGCAGGCTAAGGTATATACAGCTTTGGCACATTGGGAAGGAGATTTAAAAACAATAATTCTCAATGGCAACATAGAAATCAGCCATTTGCCTGACTCCAACAGATATTTTCTACTGATTTCAGTGAAAACAGGTTTAGGCAAGAACAGGGCAACTGTGGAAAACCATGCATTTTACTTTGAAGGATTAAAAGAAATGGGTTCTGTTACTGTGTAACACCTGAGAACAGTTGCTGCCCTGTCACACAAAGTACAGGCTCTGCTTTGCCAGTTTGTTCATGCAGAAATATCCCAGGAGTATTCCAGCCTGCACAAGTGTTTTGGTATAAACATCACAGTAGAGAAATAGCGGCTCATTTTATTTGTTACTAATCACGTATGTGAGTCAAAATGCCAAAATGGTTTTGTTTCTGGTTTTGATAGCATTACCTTTGTATTTGTAGTATTGTAACATCCAGTACCGCTTTCTGTACCCCTGGATTAGCTTGCCTATGAGTAGTTTACCTTTTACGTCCTATGTAAGCCTAATTTTAAGACTCTAGAAAGATAAGGATCCTACCCCATGAAATAGAGTAGGGCAATGAACAGTCAATACAACTACTCTGTGACATGGTAGTTGTGAAACCTGGCTGACAATATAGCAGGCAGTGAGGAAGGATGCGTTCATTAATGTGGGAAAAAGTACTTGGGCTGCAGAATAAATGTGACCCAGGCACCGACAGAGTTCCTGTGCATCGTCTGAGCTGCAATGCGTGATCCATGGTGCTTTACCTGCGGATAAACACGTTAGTTTAAACCTCTCAAAGTGACATGAAGGCATTTGCATTTTCACTGCATTTTTGTGCTGGGCTCAGCGGGAACATGGTCAGGCAGGCTTGCTCCAAGAGGCTTGGAATCAGCCCTGCCCAAATACTTGGCAACAAGCAAAGCCAAAATACAGGGCAAGAGGATGCTATTGGGCTGCATGGGAGAACAGGAGTCGGGTTTGTCACGGCTGAATTCAGGGGCTGAGGAAGATCCCTGCAGCACATGCAGGGAACAGTTGCCCACAAAACATCCACAGGCCCCGACACTTAAAATGAAGCATTGTCAGGGTGTGAGGAGGCAACCGTGTGTTGGCAATGGTTTCTCATTGCACAGAGGGGTAGGCCTCCTCCCCGCCTGAGGCAAAAGCCAGTGCCCATCTCTATAACCATGTCAACATTTCAGGGTCTTCGTTTAAGTCCCATTGACACCCACCATTTAGGTGTTTCAGGAAGAGTTTTAAAGCTTCCGCAAAGTCTAGGATCAAAGCTTTCTCGTGACCAAGGTTTAAGTCCACTGAAACCAAAATATTTTCTATTGCATTAAAAACTTCCCAGCCATTAAAACACCATGCCAGATCCTGAAGAGCAGAATGGTGATGAAGGCCTTCCTTTTACAGCGATGTCCATTCATGTTCAACTTGAAGCTCTGCAGGGTTCTTGCTGACTCCTGAGCACACTCATCACTGACTGAATGAAGTCTTTGCACCCTTTTCATTGCCATGTGGTACTCTCCCAGAGTGCAGGGAAGTTCAGTTACCCTGAAGTTAAAACAGACCTGAAAAACATGCAGAGCGCTTTTGGCTTTAGTGTACTTTCAGGCAGCTAAAGCTACGTGCCCAAACTGGCTCATAAAATGAATTTCCAGCAGTGGTGCCACTCACTTTCATTCCTTTTCGCCTTCCATTTCTCCACCATACTTCCTACCTAGATCTCATCTTCCTTGATGGCGCTAATGCCACCAAAGCCCACGGCACTCCTAGCAGAGAGACAGGTTAACACTTGTGTTTTCTACCATTTCCTGCAGGCATCCCCAGCTGCTCTAGCAAAAAGCGTTTTGGCTGAAGTTCCCAACCAAGTCGTGGACTATTACAATGGCAAAGGGATAAAACCAAAATGTATGTCAGAGTACGAGTCTTCCAGGACACTAGCTCCATGAACCTGCCTGCACTCTTTTACAAAATCAAAAGAGAAAAATGCCACTGTCTACAACTACTGTACTTAAAAATGAAAAAACAACAACAAAAAAAGCACGTTTTGGTGATTTTTAACCAAAAATAACCTTTTTTTTTTTTTTTTTGCATGTGTAGCCTAAAGGCTTTAATCTATTAAGCGGTTGTATTGTTGAAAACTTTTTATGAGAAAAAAATCCAGAAAAAAAAAGTGAACTATTTAAATTACAGCATGTCGCCTTGAAATAAAAAGTTATCTGTATCTGGTTTTTATACAGGTTTGTTGAAATTTTGCTAAATTTCTTATCTTTACACTGTAAAGCATTTTGAAATATTTATTGAGAGTTGATAGCCAAAATGTCTTTGGTTTAATCTGCTATGAACCGAGAGATTTTTCAAAATGGCAGATGCATGAACTGTATTTTGCATGTTTAAAATAAAAACAACACGGTTTTGCAGCTGTTGTCTTTATTCCTTTCTCTTCCACGGGGCTGTCTGCTTTCAACTTCCATATTCCAAGAAAAGGTGTTTCAAGACATAGCTGGCCTGAAGCATGGGCATTTCTAATGTCAGCAGCTTATAACATGGGCACCCAAACGTGCCCGCTCAGTCTGTGGCCTGAGTAGCGATTTTTGGAAAGTCTGAGATAACCAGCTGTTACGAAGGGTTCAGACCAAGGCTGTAAACAGATCTGACTTGGAGGGCATCATCCATTCAGGATTGCATGTCTTAAAATCCCCCCACACTTAATCTGGCTGGCTTTCGAACGGGTTGTATTTTGACTATCCAAATTTATAATTTCTTATAAATTGCGGATTCTTATTGTGTTTTGTCTGTTTTTTTCAGTCTCATACCCAACATCCCACTTTGTGTCACATGTCTTCCAAAAGAAACTTTGTGCAGCCTGATTTTGTGACAGCCAGTGATTTGTAACTTCATGCACACACCGATCACCTGTGTGTGACAGAAAAACTGGTTTTGTACCAAAAGAATATTGGAAACGCAAGAACAGATCGGCAGCGGATCGATCTTTCCATTGAAAAATTTATGTATATAAATGTAGAAATTAGATCATTGTTATTCTTAGTGTTTGAATTTCGGCTTTTTCATTTGCTAGAAGACAGTAGTGAAAGACATGACTTGTTAGAAATTAAGGATAAAAGTTGACCAAAAATAATTTGTGTGGGATTGTCCAAAGGACATGGCTTTGGACGAGTTGTGCTCCCACTGAATTGAAAACACTCTTGCTGCCAGTTCCAGAAGAATCTAGATTGGGCCAGTGCTGAATATTTTGGAAAATTTCACCTGCGAGCACAGGTTTTTGTTTTAGAAATATGTATCTTTAAATGAGTTTGCAGATAATGTAGAACCCCAGCTCCCTGATTCTCCTTCAGAAGCAACTTCCTCGGGATCAGCTTTGATGGATGATTTTGTCCCATAAAATGAAGGCAATGGGACAGCCAAGATGCATGGGGCTGTCTCCCCAGCACATTCAGTTCTGCTCCATCTATATCCTGCGGCGCAGTCGTTCCCGCTTGCTGGTACAGACTCCTTCAGCTGACTGGATATTGAACAGCAGCGAGTATTGCTTGGTCATAGGTATAAATTGTCTGAAGACGTCCCGACCGATAGATCTCAACTTCACATTTTCTTTTAATGGCTGACTGTTCATTTGAGAGCTTACCCCAGCAGGCTGCACATCCCTCCCCCTGTGGATGTATTTCAGCTGGAAGCTACTGTGATTTTCCTTCATACCTCATACGCCACTCTGTATCTTAATTCTTATCTACAACATCTCTAGTTTCTTATTCCCATGTGCCCCCTTTTTTCTTTCCATCCCTATTCTCAGAAGGAGCATTTTCTAGCTGTTAAAGCACATAACTAAAAAATCAATGACTCTATGTTCTTTGCCCCTCCGGTATCTTATTTTGTAATCTTGGCCAAGTTGTTTTAACTTTTCTGCCCCTCAGATTCCTCATCTGTAAAATGAAGGTCACTGCCATGTATTTATAAATATCTCACAGTGGTACTGGGGGACTTTAATATTTGAAAAGTGATTTGAGATCCTCAGAGGCATGATAGTGCTCTCGCCATGTAGAGTATTACTTTACCCTGGGGCATGGATTTAGGGATGTAATGTACAGCTGTGGAGGAGTTAAGCCTTTTCTTTATTATTTGCCAGACTGAAGGAAAGTAATAGCAGGAAAAGTTAGGATTCAGATAAATTGTTCTTCTGGTACATACAGTGTTTTGGCTACACTGAATTTTGAAGTGTTGGTGGTTACATAGAATTGGGCTCTTCATTAGAGTTACAGCTCTTCATCAGCAGAGGTGTTACAAGGCGCTTTCAATAGCATCCCATAAAATGCAGAGACCAACAGTTGAGCGATATGCCAAGCTACATAAATCATCAGTCATTTTCATGGATGTAAGTGGTCTATAGAAATATCTCAGAGAGAATCACAGTTGCTGCAGATCTGTCTGTTCACTTCACGCAACCCAGATTATAAATCTACCTAAAACTGAATCATTAGCAGTGGTAATACAGGTCAACAATTCTGTAGCAGCCCTCAAGGTGTTTGAAAAGACACCTCCATGATATTGAAAAATCAATTGGAATTCTCCTTCAATCTGTACAGATCCCAGCACCTAAAACAAACACCTAACAGCGTGGTGAGCTGGTGTAGGAGAATGCACAGAAGGCAAGACTAGCCATATGGTAAAGGCTCTCTAATGAGGCCTTGAATGTTGTTTTCATTGCTCCAAGTGCAATAAGACAGTATGGGCTTTGTGCAGGGTAATATCATTATGGGTATGAATAGATCTCTGAAATGGCATTTTTCCTCCTGTTTTATCTACTTAGGGTTTTAGCAAGGCCGTTCTGCCTTTAGGCTGAACAACCATCAATTTCCCTCGTAGATTTTTTTAATGCAAATTTAAACTTCTACTGCCTTTTGATGGATCATTCTAAATCCCAAAAACTCATTTAGAATACATTATATCTTGTCCTTTTGAGGTAACTGAAGATCTAAAATATCTTCTCTGCCAACTGCAACCCTGCCTTCCTTTTTACTTCTTTCAAATACGATACAAAACTCAAAAGTCCCAGAATACTCAAAGATATTCATGATCCCTATTAGCCCAAAATACATTGACATCCATAATTCTTGAGCCAGATTCTGAGCAGATTTGCATGACGGAGCCCTGCAGCTCTGCAACACTCAATTATATCTCTTGGGTTTACTCACACCAAATACTGTGATAGAACAGTGTGTGACTTAGAAAGCCTCGTTATTGTATTGCAGTAAGATCGCTGCAGATGAGTTAAACAGTTACCTTGGTCAGCCTGGCCCTCTTGGTGCATGAACAGGACATGGCTTACTTCCAGAAAAAAACCCAGCTGGTTACTCAGATTGACCTTTCTCACTTGGTATTATGGGACTTGCAGTCACACTGGCTATGTAAATCTAAACCTATATCCAACCTTTCAAGAGTGAAGAGGTACTAGTCAAATTCCCTTTACTCCTAAGTAGCGCGAACATTTCAGGCACAAAGCATTGGTATCTTTACATTCATGTGTTTTTGAATGGGGAGGATGAGCTGGAGGACTCCCAGGATAAGGTTACTCTTCTCAGATTGTTTTCTCCCTTTTATTTGCAGGAAGTGCCATTTTGCTACAAGACAATACAGTTTATAGCACCATCCATCCTCTTTCATTCACAGGTCTTACGTGTAGTCCTGGGCTGAGGAGTTCCACTTCACAGGATGCAATTTCAGGAACTAGAGAGCTATGTGAGTGATACTGGTCAGCCCAGCCGCACTTTTGCTTGCCACGTTCACTGCAAACCACCAGCTGGCTGCACTCACACCCCCTCTTTTCTGTTTTACCGAATTCATTGCACAGTTAGGGAGATCCTCCAAACTGATGAGGTGAAACCTAGGTGACTTCACTCTTGTGAAGGCTGCCAGTTCAGAAGTGGTGTGTCCATTTCCTCATTCCTGCAATTCTGAGAACTATCCAAGACAGCAGACTGGCAGAGAAGGTTATTTTGCATGGGCCCTGTTTCTTTCTCTTCCTTCTCTCCAAACAAGTGCTAGTCCTATCTACCGCTGTGCAGAAAGCCTTTAGCTGCTGTGTTCAGGAGGCACTTGAATTATTCTCCCACTGATTAGAGCAGGCAGTTTGCAATCCAATCATATTCAGAGTTGAAGCCATCTTGCTACACACGCTCCCACACTCACAAATTGACCAAGAATTCATGGCTCTTCAGCAGCACGCACCTCAAAAAAAAATATAATTATACTACATCATCATGTTAAAAAGGAGAAAATAAGTACAGCATTAAAACCTTTCTCCCCAGAATGCGCTCACCCCCATGTATTACTTCCAAGTTACTGGTGCATGAAATCCTGTGTCGCCTCAGCTGTGCAGCATGCTAGTGAGAAAAGCATCATTTTGTGGCATCAAAATGTTCTCTAGCTGGGAACATCCATCGTGACTTGGTGAGTCACCTGACCTTGCTGCATGCCTTGGTTCCACATCTTTGAAATGGGGATAAATAGCATTTTGCTACTTCCTGGGGACTTTGGTCAGGTAAGCACCATTATAGGCTTGTCACAGTGCTTAGAAATTGGGAGGTATCACTTTTAACATTTTAAAATCCTTTCTTCCTCCTGGTATGGAAATCCCTGTCAGAGCAGCAGTGTGAGCTACTGATGGACCCCACTAGAAAACATGTTTACATGAAATTTAGCAACACCCCTGTGGTGTTGCTGTTCTTGATGCCAGGGAAAGAACAAAAAGATGCAGTGATCACTGTGACAGCACAGATGACTAACCAGCTTCGGAGGGGGAATGTCAGCTGGGCTGTGAACTTGACAGATACCTCCCTAAGCACACTCTGAGTTTACCTCTTGAAAGGCAGAGAAGTAAACACAAGGTCGAGGGGTGTGCGTGAAAGATGCTGGTAGTTTTCTGGATCAGTTTAGAGTGTGAACACCAAAATTCTACTCAGTTACCCATTCTGAGGTGCCTACAGCCTCTCTCATATCTGGTTAGCTGGCCACAAGCCTCGAATGCAACATCTACACACATATCACAGTGAGGAAGAAAACTGGGCAGCAGGGTGAAGAGGAGAGGCAATGACAGTATTCAGCTGACCACACAAAACAGTCACATATCTTTAAAAAAGATAATTATGTTGAAATCAAAAGGGAATCTCGGGTTCATACCCATTCCCTATTCTACCTAATGCACTCTCAGCTGTGCTGGTGCCCTGCTCAGAAAAAAGGGTGAATTTATCATAGAATCACAGGATG